ATTTTCTAAGAAGTTAATTTAAAGTTTGAAAAAAAAATGTTCTAGGAATTGGCATAGCTGAGATTTAACTCTTTTAAAAATCTTTCAAGTGAGCAATGCAATACAATTAGCTGACAATCTGCCGTAAATTATATTATTGATATTGATAAAGCACCGCGTACAATTGTAGAGAAAAACCTATATCGTGATTTCCAAACGCCAAACAATTTTTCTTCTACTTCTCTTTTCGCTCGTTTCTAACTTAACGTGAGGTATCCTTGCGATATGAAAATGAAGAACGTGCTCATATATATGTTGCGTGACGATAGCAAGGTCTCGTGATTCAAAACGTGCCATAGCGATTACGGAAAAATAATTCGCCGGAGAAAATAATAGCTGGAGTAAGGAGCACTCGTCAGCTATCGCTCGATAGAGCAGCGATTACAGAGAAGGATAAGAAGTCTAGCTAAACTAAAAAGTATATCTAATGAATGCTAATGAAAACACTTGTGTGTATATATTGCGCACTTGTCGCGTTTCTTTGATTCCCACGCTATCTTAGTGACATGGACTACGGCAAACAATGCAATCGATCACGGAGATATCAATGCTGGGACTGTCGTTGATTTGCGCATGAATAAATGGCTATACAGCTATTCGAAGCACAGGAAATTACGCGCGTGCGTGCGTGCGTGCGTGCGTGCGTGCGTATGTGTGTGTGTGTGTGTGTGTTTTATGTATACGTTTTATATACGGATATAAAATCGCTGATAAAGGTAAATTTAAGGAAAATTTAACACAGAAATTAAATTATCGAGAAAAATGAAAAGCGAGAGTAGATGAGAGAACAATCGGCAAAATAAGATTTTTCTGGAGCAACGACCTTAACTTTAAGATTACTTGAAATCTTTAAAAGCTGCGTTTTCTCGAAGGTAAACCAAGCAAAGAGAACTTGGTGTTTATTGATCCCAAGAGGCCCGGTTGACCAACGGTCAATGAGATACGGTCTCTCCCTCATTCTCTTGCCACCCTCTACAACGGCCTTCTTAACGGAAGTAGGAATTGCCCCCCCCCC